CCCTGATGGTGTTTTGGTCATGGTTTATGGACAGGTCACTTAATATAATGCAATGAACATTACCTAACTAACAGAAAACCTAACAAAAATACAAAAAAAAGAAGAAACAATATTACTTATATTAAATATAATAATATAGTCTATGATGTGTCACAAATGGACTTCTGGGAATGTTCTTTTACTGATTTCCACCATAAATTATATGCATTGTTTTTACTCATAAAACACATGAATTTGACAGTATCTTAGAGTAAAATTGTATAAAATGTGATGTTAAAGCATTTACAGTTTTTCACCAAATATACTTACAATTAACCTATAGATAGGTTTTTACTATATAATTTTTACAGTTGTTTTTTGTTTTTTTAAACATTTTAACAGTGTGGACAAAAACAATAAGTCATATAAAACACAAAATGTCTTCTTTCTTTTCTTTTGGAGAAGAAAGAAAAACATGCAGGTTTGGAACAACATGAGAGTGAGCAAATGAGGTCTTCTTTCTTTGACGTCAAAGCCTAGATAGTCACTCATTCTGCCATCAGCTAATCAAAACTTAATTTTCATGCAGAGTGATTAATCACATGGCATTTATGGCTCAGGTGATCGACTCAAAAGAGTTTCCAGAACTTAGCTCCCATGCCAAAGATGGCATTAGCATTTGGAAACTGGAAATATGCTTTCGGCTTAATCCATATCAACTATCTCCCTTTGAAAAGCAAGAGGATGTTATTGGACTGCCAGATCTTTCTCCAGCCAAGAATTTAAATAAAAATTTACAAAAATCTATGCAGGCAACTACCAGTGACGGGGTGTTTTTGCAAAGAGATTGAAGGCATCCGGAAGGAGCTGATCTTCTCTTCTCTCTCTATTTAAACAAGTGCATGCCCTGCTAGGTCTATAATGAGGCTGCTCTTGGATTCCAAAGTGGACCGTGGGATTAACTCCTGTGAGTAATACCTCTCCTTGGACGGGTCATATAGCTGTCATGAGAGGGTCTGTGCTCACATAAGGTACCGCCCATTAAAATGCTAACGTGCAGATGGAGATAAAATAGAGGGAAAATAAAAATACACCACCTCAGCGCTGTGTCTGCAGTGTTACACACACTGCCACACACTCATGCATAAAAGTCTTCTCCTCCCCCTTCTCCTGACATAATTCAATCAGGGGATTGAATGGATGAGATCGCTTACCCTCTCTATTTCCCGAAGCACTTGATCAGATTAATTGATCCCCCCCCAGCCCTCCCCAGTCAGCAGCATGATAGCAGGAATCAAGTTTACATTGATATTTTCTATGAAATGCTTCTTTGATTTTATACCCATGTCACAATTATCTACAAAAAAAAGACAACATAAGAGGAGAAAAAAAGTACAACACAGAATGCCCTTGAATAATTGATAAAGGTGAAGGATGACATGAATGGATGGAGAACCTGTTCTTATTCAGAAGAGCCTGTGGTCTGAATCATTAATCAAATGACTCTTTTAAGCCATTAAAAAAGTCTCAAATATATGTTACTGATTTGAATCAGTTTAATAACTCAATCACTGTCTGAATCGGTTCTTGATTTATTCACTGAGCCACAAGTCATCAACAACACTATCAAAAGCAGGCTACTAAAAGAATAGATAACTTAATTAAGTAAACATAAATGGAATCAGAATCACAAACAAAATCATTACATTCTTTAAAGTCCTGTTCACACCAAAACAAATGTTCAACATGAAAATTCTGTAAATTTTATTGCAAATATTATATGATATTATTGAAGTTTTCTTTACAGTTAAAGATTAGAACAACTCTCTCCAAAAATGCGGATGCACGAACATATGGATGTTCGTGTTTGTCTAAATAGATTCATTAACAGCTGTTCATTAATATTTAGAATGTTTATCGCACCACATTTTCGCACTGAATATTCGTCTTGGTGTGAACAAGCCTTACAGCTAGTTAACATTGCCCCCCAAAAACGACTTTTAACGACTTATTTTACTGTGTTTATTTAGTGTTTGTTGGGTCTCGGGAATCTGTGGCGTAATTTTCCAAAAATGCTGACGCAATCTGACTTAATTGCTAATCGTTGGTGTGGTGATGAGGTAAGAGTTCCTGGCTACTCTGTAGAAATAAATTAACAGAAAAAATAGGCCTTTCAATTGCAATCACAGTTCTTTGTAGTGAACGCAATAAAGCACTTTTTAAGAATAGAAAAAATGCTTAAGCGCTTAATCTACAATCTCTTTCTTTTCAGTTGGTTTTTAAATGTGAACAACGGCATGCAGAAAGACAAGTTTGCTGGGGATCTGCCAGATTCTCAATCCTATCAGTGACCACGACATCAGATACCTCTTTCTCTCTCTCGTCTCTCTCTCTCGTCTCTCTCTCTCTCTCTCTCTCGCTCTCTCTCTCTCTCTCTCTCTCTCTCTCTCTCTCTCTCTCGATGGAGATCCCTGGAAAACACTTTGGAACACTATAAAATTGATGGACTGTTCTGATAGCAACAGGGCCATGAGCAAGAGATGCAAACACACAGAGATAAAAAGAGAGTGAGAGAGAACGAGAGAGACCTCCTGCTTACTCTTATCACTGTACTGCACATGTTCTCAACACACCACGTCAAAGCTTTAACTGCGGAGACAGCACGAGAGAGAATTGTGAGGACTTGTAGAAAGAAACTAAAAATATCAGTTCTCTACTTCACATCCCTGTGCATTCAAACGCTGCCCTTGACATTTAAACAGCAGCGTCTGTTCTCATACATCAACACACATCACACACACACACACACACACACACACACCTCCTCCCTGAATACACACATCTGAATGCTTACACATGAGCAAACTTTTCAAACTCTATGTTTAAAGATGCAAACGCACACAGTAATAACCAACGAAAAGGGCCTTGTTCTAAAGGACCATGTTTACCATGAAGTAGAAAGACAGGGAGGTATGCAGGAGAGGAGAAGGGGAAACACTTTGAAACACCTGCAAGAATGCACTGCTGCTCCCTGCTGCACAGAGAGGGGGACACACACTCAACAGAGAAGACGAGACAAGAATTTATTTTTTTTTTTTTACAAATATCATAAACAATTAATTCATAAATATGAGTTGCACCACATTACATTTCCCTTGGCAAACAAATCTTGCTTCGTCATAAAAAGGTAAAATTATCTGATACTTTAAGAAACTTTTTGACCTTGACATACAGTAATGAAGGTCTGCAAGGGCCCCATGTATAATATCCTGTTTTATGTTTTTTTTCTGCATGTTGGTTGCATCACATGACTTTGATTTTGTTGTCAAATAATAAGAAGCAGATAAACGATTTTGTTAAAATATAATTTTTTAATGAATAATAATATAAATAATAATAAACAATAATAAAAAGATCAAATCAAAGTACTTCAGTTTTTTTTGTCAAGAATTTCATTCTTTTACTGAGGCTTTTTTTGGTTCATTATATCACGACTGTGACATTTTTACTTAATATCCCCCAATTCAGAAATTAAAAATGTGCTTGGATAAATTTAGGTGTATTCAAGCCACTGTATCTATTAATTGCACTTTTCAGGTATTTTGTAATAAATGAAGGATCCAGGGTGTCGTATCATTGACCCAATGACAGATCTGCATGATTAAACCAGCTAGATGAAAACAAGACTCTATTACAGCTTTCTCTCCATCTCTTTTAGAAGGATTGATCTGGTCACCGCATCTTGAACTATTGCCCCAAGGGTTCCTCTGTGCTAACACAGCTGTGCCCACACACTTCATGTAATAAACCAGTCTTTCATACACACATGCGCTAGCTCCACTTACACCTAATGAAACACTCAACCCAAGCATGACCTCTAAGTGACCTCGTACCGCATATATTACAGGGGTAACTGAGGGCACGGTTTTACTCGCGCATACTTGTATTATATTTACAGAATGAAGCCGTGTAAATACTGCGTGTGAAAAGCAGAATCAAATCAATGGCTGCCTGAGAAGGAAAATCAATAAGCATTACAGATGCATTAGATGTGACAGCTACAATTTCATACACCACTTCCTGTCGGCTCCCAGCAATTTCATAACAACACAAAGAAAAAGAGACATTATTTTTTCAAAAGCGTAGGAAAATTCATTTTGAAATTTCCTTTTAATAATTCATGCCAAGGCTTTCAGAGTTTTTCAACCTGGAAAAAAAGAGAAATACTCATGAAGGAAAGAGTGGTGAGCGTGTGTTTATTGTAAGTCGTGCTTGTCAGGCACTGTTCTGATTCTTCTGAATTAGTGCGCAGACAGCTGGTTAACACTGATAATACTACTTCCGACCTTCATGAAATAAACACTATGTCTAACCTGCAGGCACACACAGAGACTCGCAACAGTCCGCTATTAGGTCAATCACAGCTACAAGCTGTATCACTACACAGCTGTAGTGCAGAGGGGACAATGAGCATCACTCTGATTGATCAGAGCTCTTTAACTTTTCAAAGCATAATACTGTCACTCACACACACAAGTTTTTATATCAAGGTGGAGATTTGGGTTTTTCTATATATTATCCACTAACTCTCACAGAAATATTTCTGCGCTTTTACTTTTTCATTAAAGGGTCAATGACGCTGCGTTCATTTCTTTTCTTTTATATTGCAACAATTCAAACATGCAGAAAAACAGAAAATAAAATCACAGTGAGGAGACCCTCATGACTGTGTCTCAAGACAAACAAGTCGAGGCAAGGTCAGTTCAAGTTGTAAAAAGAAGCAGTAGTCGCTTTTTGACAGTTTGTTGCTTTGTAACAATATATACTGGGAAAAGTGCCATTCAAGCCACATTTAATCGAATCATAGCTTATGGCCAAGAACGGTCTACTTCAGGAAATTGGCATCTAAATGAAATGCAAATAAATCATCTACAGTTACATAGCTAAGTAATGTGCAAGGACAGCTGATAAATATATTGCACTACAAAAAAAACAAAAGCATAAGTTATGTTTTTACATACCTTCCATGCGATGCGGTTGCCTTTAGAGTCATGTTCCAGTGCGATGGGAAAGTCTCCACGCTCGTAGAACTTACGGAAAGCTGTGGGTTTAGCTGGCCTCTCTCTGAAAGCCCCTGCAGCTGGAGGGCCCACCACCTATAGGACATAGAGAGAGAGAAAGCCTGTTAGATGCTGTGTCATCAGAGGGAATGGCAGTCCTAAAACCATCACAGAAAATGAAATGGTTTTGATCCTCTTTCATCCCAATGTAAATCTGCTCTCTGTCTGATGTCAGAGGAAGCATATATCTGCTTTATAGCGACACACTACAAACCACCAATTATTCACAATGTCTGCCTCATATAATTCAAGTCTAGCAGATCACACAAAGTACATATTAGCAGTATAAATAAACTGATGCATTCACCACAACATACAAAATTGTGACAAGTTAAAGAAAATGAAATGAGAGTTGTTTATTCAGGAACAAAGTTGAACTCATGAAGGCCCCTGCAGTGAGAATATGGCTGCCCGGGGATTTGCTCTAGGCCTTGGCATTAAACTCTGACTTCATCTGAATAAAATCACACAGAGAGTGAACCAGAGATGCTGTTTTGCTTAATTGCTATGGTTGTTCAAATTTAAATTAATGCATAAAGCTAATGGTTAACAAAACAACTATGCTAATGTGTTTATATAAGAAACATGCTCTAGTCTTGGCACATTAATACATATCTTAAAACACTTTACACCATGGTCTGTCTGAATACTCTATTCTGATTGGCTGGCAGGTATGCATTAAAACCGTTTAATGCACAAGATAGTTCCAAGTCAGTTTAATCACTGTTCTATATTAATGCGCTGCTTTCATTGACACAAACACACCACTCGCACACACAGAGAGAGAGAGATCGGAGATCACGCTGCGCACACACAGAAACATCAGAGTACAGAAACTTGTTGTCAACACTTCCCCGTGACTTTTATTAATAAAATAGCTTAGATCAGAGCTCCAGACTCATTCTTCCCACTGGTCGCTCTTTTGCGACTAACTTTCTCAGTTGGTCGCAGGAGCACATGATTTGGTCACAATTATTTTTTTTTCCGCTACAACATGGGATTAATCAATGCATGCTTTTATCATAGTTTATAGTTATATGGAAATGAAAGTGGTTAACATTCAACCCGTTCTTTTTCATCAGTATTATTTGTGATTTTAATTTTGTGAACGGGAGTTCCTCTTTTGCTATGTTATAAGGCGGGCCGGGCGATCTTGGTGTCAAGTTTTACAAGAAAAATAATTGTCTGTTTTGTTTACATACATATCTTCACACCCTTCAGTTTTTAAGACTAAAACAAAAGATGGATTCATTGTTATTCTTAATTAAAAAGCACAACAACATAAGATACAATGACAATCTAGCTTACAAAACGTTTATTAACAAAAACGAATTAGATGAGGCATGGCATAGCCTACACCACATGTTGTATTATATACCGACTAATAAATTACAGAACGTTTAGCAAACACTGAGGAAGCAAATAAAAAAATAAAATAAAAGAGATCCTCCATAGCGTAACGTCAGGTAAACAGCAAAGAAAACAAGTTTTTAAAAACGAAAAGAAAAAGAAAAGTAAAATTAAACTTGCTGTTGGTGACAGTGCTTGCATGTTTATTCCCACAAAAATACCAACATGTTCACCTTCTCTGGTTTAAGAAGCGGTCTTTTACTTTACTTTAGCTGGAAAACCATCCATCATTTCTTAAATATTCACATCCTTTTTGCTGTGCGCAGCGAGTATAAACCAGGCTCTACACACGGTTTCGTTATGCTTTCAGTTTTGTTTGCCATTTGATGTTTCTCATATGCAACAGAAATGGCAGCGCTTATGAGTTAAACAACGCGGTGGTCACGCCAGTACGACCACACACAAAATTTAGTTACACAGGCAGAAAAAATGGTAACAAAATGCGACCATTTGGTCTCAGTCTACCCTGGCTTATGCCGAGTTCACACTGCACGATTTTAGTCAGATTTTTCACTCACCGACAGGTTTTGCGAAATCGCAGACAAATGCCTGAAATCAGAGAAAAATCGGTGCTCGTTCGAGTGACAATCACGCAGTGTGAATTATCAAAGACATGATCTGAGCGAATCACCGACACGTCACCGACGCCCGTGAAATATTTGGCATGTTAAATATCTGGAGCTGTCGGCGATTCACAATCACACTGTGCGACCCCAATAACGTGACATTTAGGTCCTGAAATGTGAATTGTACCAGGAGAACCCCGCCAAAATTTTTTTGTATTTTACCCCCCTCCGAACGCGCTAGTTTTCAGGCTAGTTTTGAGTAGTAATTGTAATTTTGTAGCGAAAACCCATCAACCCTGCACCAGACAGAGCTGTCGGCGATTCTTCCTATTGTGAAGTCATGCAATGTGAAACCCCCTGTCGCCGATCCATCGTGCAATGTGAACACAGCAGCAACTGAATGCTACCCCAGATAGTCACGCAGTGTGAAAACAACGGCGAGCCGACGAGTTTGAAAATCATGCAGTGTGAACTCGGCATTAGATACTGGATCGCTGCATTATTCCCTTTAGCAAAGAGTGTCACAATCTCCAGTCACCAGTTCAATCACTATCCTCAGTCACGAGTCACAGCATCCCTTCTGTTTAACACCTGCGCACAGTCAGCCATCACCACACCTGTCACATATGATCTCGTCAAGTCTGGCATAAAAAGCTATCACTCTTCACTTCTCCCTTGTTTGGTCTCGTTGTTCCTACTTGACTACCTTGTTGGATACTTACCTGTCTTCTGTTTGTCTTCGTTCCAGCTTTGATCCCATCTCATCCACTCCTCCAACCTGCACCTACAAAGATTATATAAGCATTATCATCTCAGCTAAGTCACCTAAGAATTCTATGAACTTGACACTCACCTGTTTGCACTGCTACTTCACCTATATCATGTAAATAAAGACTTTGTGATTCACATTGCCACAGTTGTCCACCTATTCTGTTCCAGTGACAGAAGACCAGACCAAAACATTGCAGTATGAGCACTCCTCTCCATCTTGTTGACCAGCTATACTCCCTCACTCAAAATGGCCATCCCTTAGTCAAATATGCTGATGAATTCTTGGAGCTGGCCTCTGCCGTCTATTTGGAGAATGATGTGCTGTTGACATTCTTCTACGTACGTTTGGAGGAACCATTATATTCATGGATGCCCAGGAATATTAACAACTGCACGTTGGAACAATATGTTCTATGCCCTCCTGCTGAGCTGGTCCACTTCTGAAAGACCGCTCATCCTCCCGTGATATCAGAGTCTGCTCCAGTGTCTGCTCAAGCTCTTAAACCCGCTCCAGAGTCTGCTCCAGTCCAAGTTTATTTGAGGTTTATTTGACAGGGACAATGAAGATCAATAATAGCCAGAAGGCTATTTTGCATCTGCAGTCCCTGGACTGGAGGTAAAATTGTCACCCTAAATATATATAAGAAATAATCTATACATAATACATACATGCTCCAAACTACATATAAATTTACACTATACCTAATACATATAGTTCTCTCCCAATACAAAAAATATATAAATTTCAGCATCCACTTAAAAATAACACTATGCATAGAACCAACAACAAGAATCAAAACACCAGCTCACTCATACACGCACAATCCGACTATCAGATAATGACAAGCAATGTATCAATAATATTGATATACAGGTAGGGCTGTGCAATTAATCGCATACGATTGTCATGCGCATCTCGTCAGTAAAGCCGGTTCCGTGATTAGTAGAAAAAATTCCATCACCTGTTTTCAGATGGAGCGGCATTTACTACACAGAGCCGTAGTTCACTGACAATTAGGCAATATCGCATTCGATTATGAACGTGATATCGCCTAGCTTGTCAGTGAACTATGGCTCTGTGTATTAAATGCCGCTCCATCTGAAAGCAGGTGATGGCGATTTACTACCAATCATGGAACCGGCTTTACTGACGAGATGCGCATGACAATCGCATGTGATTAATTGCACAGCCCTATATACAGGCAAGGATAATGCAAGCATACAGACAAGTAACTGTAGTTTAACCTTAATCATTCAATCAGTACTAAACCAAACAACATCATAGAAATAACAATCTCAAACTGGTAGAGCAGTAAAGACAAGATGCCAGTAAAATTAATGTTGACAATGTGGATCACTTCTTTAAGTGAAACTTAAAAGAAAAACTTAAGTCAAGTTAGAGTCTGCACCAGTTCAAATTAATCAAGAATCCGCTACAGTCCAAACCATTTCAGAATCCACTCCAGTGTTGAATCCGATTCATGAGTCCGCTCCAGTGTCGGCTCCAGCCCCTGAGTCCACTTATTTCATCAATCTCAGTCAAGAGTCCGTTCCAGTCCCTGAGTTCAGTGTTGAGTCCGCTCCGACCCCAGAATTCAGTACTGAGTCCGCTTCAGACACAGAATTCAGTAACGAGTCCGTTCCATCCCCAGAGTCTGCATCAGAGCCCACTCTAACCCCTGAATCTAAATTGAAGCCCACTCTAACCCCTGAATCTTCATCAGAGCCCGCTCGTACCAGTGAATTAACTCTGTTTACCTACAGTCCTTAAGTCCATATGAGAATTCCCCCAGACCTTAAATCCACTCCAGAGCAAAGTCCAGATTTTGCTCAAGCCCCTGACCAGAGTTCATTGATGGCTCCAGCCCCTGACCAGAGTTCATTGATGGCTCCAGCCCCTGACCAGATTCCAGAGATGGCTCCAGCCCTTAACTTTAGCTCTGTGCCTGATCTTGTCCCAGAGCTCAGTCCTGTACTCGCTCATCCCAGAGCACAACCCAGATTTGGCTCCAGCCCCTGACCAGAATCCAGTGCAGGCCCCAGCCTCCGAGCTCAGCCCAGTGCCCGCTCTCATTCCAGAGCTCAGCCTACTATTTGCACTACCGCCAGAATCCTCAACTAACAGGGCAATCAAGTCAGAATCTCCAGCAATCATGAGTGCTACACCTGAATCTCCTGATGTCATAGCCATCATGCCAGTGCTCAACCAGATTGTTCGCAACTTGGAGGATTCAGAGTCCCTTCTGCCACTGATTGTTTTCCCTGTTACGGCAGTAGCCATAATATGTG